TATCATCAGAGTGCACAGGCAACCTACAGAATGGGAGAAAATTTTTACAATCTATCCATCTGACAAAGGTCTAATATCCAGAATCTACAAAAGCCTTAAAACAAATTTACAAGAGAAAAACAACACCATAAAAAAGTGGGCAAAGGATATGAACAGACACTTCACAAAAGAAGACATTTATGCAGCCCACAAACATATTAAAAAAAGCTCATCATCACTGGTCATTAGATAAATGCAAATCAAAAACCAAAATGAGATACCATCTCCTGCCCATAAGAAGCATGACAATCAAATGTCAGGAGACAACAGATGGTAGAGAGTTGGTGGGAGTGTAAATTAGTTCAATCATTGTGGAAGACAGTGTGGTGATTCCTCAAGGATCTAGAACTAGAAATATCATTTGACCCAGCAATCCCATTACTGGGTATATACCCAAAGGCTTATAAATCATTCTATTATAAAGATACATGCACACATATTTATTGTGGCACTGATCACAATAGCAAAGACTTGTAACCAACCCAAATCCCCATCAAGGATAGACTGGATAAAGAAAATGTGGCAAATAAACAAAATGGAATACTATGCAGCCATAAAAAGGATAAGTTCATGTCCTTTGCAGGGACATGGATGAAGCTAGAAACCATCATTCTCAGCAAACTAACACAAGAACATAAACCTAAACACCACATGCTCTCACTCATAATTGGGAGTCGAAAAATGAGAACACATGGACACAGGGAGGGGAACATCACACACTGGGGCCTGTTGGTGGGTGGGGAGCTAGGGGAGGGATAGCATTAGGAGAAATACCTAATGTAGATGATGGGGGGATAGATGCAATAAGCCACTGTGGCAGATGCATACCTATGTAGCAAACCTGCATGTTCCACAGATGTACTCAGAATATACATTATGATTTTTAAAAAGTTTGTAAAGTACTTTCTGCTCCCAGGAGAGGAAAAAAAATGTTCTCTAAAAAATAGTGTGACTTTTTTCTATACTAAATATAATTTTCCCCATTTCCCCTTCAAGAAGTATAAGAGTAGCAAGTGTTTAGAGCTCTCCCATAACCTACAGCAGAAAGAGTGGTTTATGCCATGTTAACACATTCATGCTTGAGTAAGACTTGCTTCCAAGGGTACCAAGAAGGAAGAGGCAGAAAATGCAGAAGCAGCCTGGCTCACTATCACAATTTTTCTTTAGTGAGCGCATATCTACGTCTTACAGAACTAGAGAAAAAGATTCAGACATAACTTAAAGAGCTCCTCCAAACCTACACATTTTAGAGATGGGGGACAAGGCCTAGGGTGGAAACGACTCATTTGTGATTCCTTAGCCAGTTAGTGACCAAGGTGGGACCTGAAACCAGAACTCCCAATTCTAAGTCTAGTATTCTTTCTGATAAATCATTCACTCCTCACAGCTTTTGGTTTCATTAAACCAAACACAGTCCTGGGCTAAACTACTGTCTTCTGGTCCAGCTAGACACAGCTTTTTCCACCTCCCTTTGATGCCTGTGATTATAGGGTGAGACAAAGAGATAGCTCCCATTTAAATACTTAACTTCATCACCAATAATAGTTGAAAAATAAGGAATCAGGAAGTTGTCAACAAAAGGTTTGATTGGGTGGGCTGGAATTGGAAAAGTCCTTAAAGCAGGATCATATCACTCCCTATGTTCTGGAAAGAGAAATAACTTCCACTGCTGTCCTGAGCCTGTGGCCCATAGGAAGAGGTAAAGATGTGTGGGATTTGGGAGAGCCTTCTAAGGACTTCCACTGGGCTAATATCTGAGATCTCTGGGAAAATAATTTTGCTTCTTAGAGACTCAGTCTGCTGATCTAGAAAACAGAAATAGCAATAACAACCTTTGTCCTCTGAAGATCAAATGACATATGATATGAACGTACTTTGCCAATCAAAGCAGTACATACATATGAGCAATTATATTTATTTTTGACTTTAAGCAATATTTATCGAGCATCTAGTATCAGGCACTGTGCTAGGGGGGATATATCAGTAAATCAACAGATGAAAACCCCTGCCCTTCATGGAAAGTGCATTCCAGAAGGAGAGACAGAAAATAAACAAAATATATCAGTTAAATATATAATATGTCAGATAGATAAGTGTAAAGGATAGAAATAAAGCAGGAAAGGGGTAGAGGCATTGCAACATTACAGGATTAAATAATGCTTAGAGAAGTCTCAAGAAGATGATATTTGAGCAAAGACTTGAAGGAGCTAAGGACAGGAGCCATGTAAATGTGGGGTGGGAGGGGAATGCTTTAAGCAGAGGGAAAAAACAGTGCAAATGCTCTGAGGGAGGAGCATATTAGTAATGCTGAAGGAAAAGCAAGAGGCCAGTATAGCTGTAGTAGTGAAGAAAGCATGGCAGAAAGGAGCAGGAGGTGAAAGTCATAGAGGCAAGGATGGGTTGATCATACAGGCCCTTGTAAGTAATAATAACTTTGGCTTTTATTCAGGGAGAAATGGTGAGCCATTAGAAGGTTCTCAGCAGAGGAGTGATATGATCTGATTTAGATCTTGACAGCATCCCTCAGCTACCAAATGAAGAATAGACTATTTAATTTTATGAAAAACACTATGACATTGTAATATAGGTATCATTTTGGAGCAGCATTCCTCAAACTTTATTATGTATTATACATCAGATAGTAACTTAGTTAAAATGCATATGCTGATTCAGTAAGTCTGGGTTGGAGCCAAATATTTTGCATTTCTAACAAGTTTCCAGGTGATACAGATGCTGCTGGCCTAAAGTACAACAATTTGAGGCTAGAAGTTATGTCCACAGGCCTGGTACAGAGCAGAATTCCACTAAATGTTTGCTGAATGAATAAAGTGTCAGTGGTTTTATGCTGAATGCCATGTAGCACATTCCAAGGGAGATTTTTTTTTTTTAGCATCAATCATTGATGTGAAGGGAGAAGGAATTAAAAAAAAGATATATGGATGGATGGGTGAATAGATTTTAAAAAGAGGCAAAAAAGAAAATTACCTTTTTCCAAATACAACATATGTTACTGCAATATTATATTTACTTGAGTTTGTGTCCTTTGTAGAGACATGGATGAACCTGGAAACCATCATTCTCAGCAAACTGACAGAAGAGCAGAAGATCAAACACCGCATGTTCTCACTCATAGGCGGGTGTTGAACAATGAGAACACATGGACACAGGGAGGGGAGCACTACACACTGGGGTCAGTTGGGGGGAAATAGGGGAGGGACGGTGGGGGGTGGGAAGCTGGGGAGAGATAGCAAGGGGAGAAATGCCAGATGTAGGTGATGGGGAGGAAGGCAGCAAATCACACTGCCACGTGTGTTCCTATGCAACAATTTTGCATGTTCTTCACATGTACACCAAAACCTAAAATGCAATAAAATAAATGAATGGGGGAAAAAAAAGAGATTGTTATAATGAAGCCCACTGGAAAAATAAGAAAACTGAATGTCAGAGGAGTTAAAGGGTGCCTTCAGGCTCACAGGGTAAATTAGTGACAAAGACAGAATGTGAAAAACCAGCATTCCATGTCTCCAGATCTCTTATTCTTTCTACTGTATTTTATTGCCTCATGGCAGGGTAGGAAGTGGGGCAATGGGACAAGATAACTTTTAATCTTCGTGGGAGGGGTGAGACAATGAGTTGAGATAAAGAAAGTTCAGGCACGTAATCCTTGGCCTTGGTGTTTCCAGGGCTGCACTGTCCAATGTGGCTGTCATTATAGATATATGGTTGTTTAAATTAAATTAAATATAAATACAATTTAAAATTCAATTTCTCAGTCATACCAGCCACATTTTAACTGTTCAACAGCCATAAATTGTTGACTCATAGCTACTATATTGGAGAATGCAGACATAGAACACTTTCATCATTCCAGGAAGTTCTATTGGGCAGTACTATCTAGAGAAATAAGAACTTTGAAAAATGTTGGGGCTGTACTACTGACTCCACAGTGCACCCTAGGCTGGGGGACAGAAAACAGAACCTAAGCCCTCTTCTGGAAGAAAGGTGACAAAAAGATTCAAAGCAGAGTTTTCCCTGGGTAAAGAAAAAAGATATGAGAGAGAGAGAGAGAGAGAGAGAGAGAGAGAGAGAGAGAGAGAGAGTGTGTGTGTGTGTGTGTGTGTGTGTGTGTGTGTGTGTGTCTAATCCTTTTAAAAACACTGCCTTCATTTCCCATTGGTTTTCCCTTCCTGTTCAGTAAAATCCCCTTTGAAAATGCCAACTTGCATCTACTAAGCTTAAGAGATTATGAGGGAAAAGGCTCTCATCTTCGCTTATGACAGAGAGATGAAAGTAATGGGGGTTAGGAATTAGAGAGACATCTCCTGGGGAAAAAAGTGACATACTAAAGAAGCCAATGTTTGTCCATCCAGCCTTTGTCTTCTGTAGACTGCTGTCTCCAAGCTCTTTTCTGCTTAAACTCACAACTAGTGTTCTCCAAGTGAGAGAATAGAACCAGCAGCATCAGCATCACCAGGGATGCTCATTAAACCTAAAAAAGTTCATACTTTACCTGAGACTGATAATTCATGACTTGGGGGACAAGAATGAGAGGGCTGCTTAAGAAGCTCCCCCAGAAATTCTGGTGTATGTTGAAGTCTACGAATCACTGGCTTTATGGGAGATGTGTTTTGCTTTAATGAGTGAGGTTAAGCCCTTACATGAGATGGCTGCAACTGGATCAGAAACCAAGAAGATAAAAGTAGGGATTCAGGGGAAAAAATGAGGAAGACACAAAGAAAGGGTAAAGGAAGAAAGACAATGTATATAAACAAATAAATATTTAAGTTAGACAGAGAAAAATGTGAAAAACAGAGATTGAGAAACAAGGAAGCAGTTTTGCCTCACTGAACAGAATCTGGGAGGGTATGTGCCCTTTCCAACATCTTGGGACTGTCACAGGCAGGGCCCAGGAGGGTTGTCAGTTCTTCACGAAGCGTCTCCACATGAACCACCATGGTTACCTCACAAATATCCTTAAGGTGTTTGATGTAGTGACGCTCGGTACTCATGATCTCATTGATGACATTGGCCCGCATCTGGTCCCGGTTCTGTAGTGGCCGCCCCAGACAGAGGCAGTCTGAGTTGGGGTCCAGGTGTCCGTTCTGCACATCACTGGGCCCTTCCTCCACCTCATCTTCCTGGTTCACCCAGAGCTGTGGAAACAGGCAAAAGAAAAATAATGAGTTAGCTTCCTTCTTTGAGAGGTTTCCAGACAGTAAGAAAAAGGACAAATTGAATTTCTCAGGTATTCAGAGAACCTTCAACCAGAGACCTCTGCAAACTGATTCCAAACCTGACTCTAGTGTGACTTTTTGCCCTGGGCATGGGTTTAATTTTCTATAGGTCTCTGGCGACCTATCTGTAAATAGAGTGGAGTAACTAGATTCATTCATGCTACAGCACATCTAGGTGGTACAACTGGATTTTAAAAAAGGTTAAGCTATACATCTTGAGAGCCATAGTTGGATTTCTGTAAAACACAGCATTTATGCACCTGCAAATATAGAGGCCAAGTTAAATGCTAGAGCGGGTATCTCGAAAACAATGTCAGTGTTGATTTCTGTGATAAGATATAAAAATAATCATCAAAATTTGACTGTAAAATGTCTTGGACATGCAAAAATCTCTACCTTTTAAAGATTGGGATGGGGATGGGAGAATATTTCCCCACCACATACTAGCAATAACTATTAATTGGCACCAACTATATACCATTCACTGTGCTAAGAGCTTACAATATACTGTATTCAGCACTGCTAGTTAAGTATCACTATTACCACCATTTCACAGAAGAGGAGACTGAGGCTCAGAGAAGTTAAGCAATCTGTCCCAAGTCACACAGTTAGGAAGCAGAGGAGCTGGGATAGGAGGCAGTGTCTCCAGAGCCTATGCTCTTAGTCAGTGTCAGCATCTTTGTGCCTCTGGCTCTAAGGAAGACAGGAAAAGAAAAGGAAATGGCTTGGGCCAAGATGGGTGGGCAATTATTAGAATCATCAGAAATTGATAAATTTGGTAATGGTTGAGACTGTCCATTCTAAATCACGAAGGCAGAGAGAAGCTAAGAAAAAAAACCTTTGGGAAGGCCAAGTCAGATGTCTTTGGATCTGCTAGATGACTTTGACTGAAAATCAAGAAGATGGCCCTTCCTGCCACCCCTGCAGTCCTAGGAAGTGGGGAAACCATGGAGGCAGGAAGGAAAAGAAGAGTGGGCCTGTTTGGCAGAGTGACAAAATCTGTCAGAGGTAATTAGCCAAAGAGCTTGCCAGTTGTCTCAACAGGTTGAAAACACTCTCCATATTTTCCCTCCTTAACCCCCAGATTTTTCCACATTCCTGCCTCAAGAAGCTGAGATCCAACAATTTAGATGCATCCCTATTTCTGCCATCAGAAAAGCCTTTTGGTGGGTAATCACTGAGGGAAAGAGGCTTTGGCATAGAACTAGAGGGATGGCAGTTACTTTCCAACTCTGTATATTCTTCCTTCTTTCTTTTTCTCATAGGAAGTGAGGGGGCATGATTACCACTCAGTGAAGTTAGAGAAGTCACCAGCACATATCAACATATGACTGAATTGTCATAGGCCAAAGCAAATAGGGTTCATTCTGTTTTTATGTACTTTGCATACGTAGCCAAATTTGCAAAATGTATCTCCATCCAAAACCTATCACCCTCTGCAAGTGCTCCATTATAAATCTCTTTCCAGCTTTTGAAAGGTCAGCTTTGTGTTTTCAATATGCTAATAGCTGTCCTTTAATTCAGTCAACAGGCAATATGAGAGATGATTATTCAAAAGAATGGACCTGGGCAAAAAAGTTATTTAAGTCACTGAAACAAACATCTCATATACATGATGCTGTCTATTTGTAACAATGAAAACCTCATTCTCTAATAATCCATTAGCTTTTCCCTGCTTCTCACAAAGCAAGCTAAATCCTGGTATAGAAAGGGTAACAAAGGCAGGCCTTTAAGGAATAAGAATCCTCTCTTTTCTTCCTAGGAGTTTAAGAAAAGTCAGGTCCAAATGTTGGCTTTTGGATAGCTGGAATAGGATGAATATTTTGAACAACTCCACTGGAAAGGAACACAGGATATGAAGGAAGGAGAGGGGGAGCAGATGTAAAGGCAGAAACAGAACCACATTTAGGTTTCAGCTATATACCATGACACTGTCATTCCAAATAACAGTGAGAGAAGATGAAGGCAACTGCAGCCAAGTAAAAACAGATTCCTTATAAAGAATTTGGTAGAGAAGTCCCTTCTGGCTATAACCAAAGGCCCATGTATCAGGATCCTTCACAAGGAGCTTTTGAGAAGACAACTTCATCTACTCTACCCCAATCCCAGAAGCTTATTCCTTAGGTTAAGATACTGCTTTCCTCCAAAATAACTACTAATCAATTAATTCATTCATTAAATCTATGCCAAGTGCCAATAATGTGCCAGATATTAGGGATACATCAGCACATAAAAAAGACAGAAATCACTGCCCTTTATAGAGCTGACATTTGAGAAAAGATGTTTCTTAGCCTAGAAAAAGGTCCCACATAAGGCCTAATTGTTCTTCTCCTGATCTCAGGTTCCCACAAAAGATCCCCTGGGCCTAGTGATAAGACTTTCTGGTCTAACCTCAGACCTCTGCTCTTGAGAACTTCCCTGTTCTGTGCAGAGAAAGGTCTTTGTCTGCTAGTATGTCACAGTGCATTGACACAGGTCAGCCCATAAACTTATCTGGTCTGAAATGTCAGACCACAGAGCCATTATCAACCCTGTCCAACAATCTGTGCAGGCTAATGTGTACCTTTTCTTCATTAATGCTGCAATTAGCACATATAGATGCCTGGGTGACAAGTAAAAAGATGGACAATGCCAGGAATCTGCCAGATTGAAAGGTTGTCCTGTAAGTCTTCTTAGAGTACTTAAAGGCTGGTTTCCCCAGCCTTCATTAAACTCTGAAGCAAGGCTGGTTAATGCAGTTCAATTTAACAAATACTTACTTTGGACCTATTCTGTGCCTAACCACTAACTGTGAAGGACATGCAGATGAGCAAGACAACTCATTCTTCCCTCCCCCTTCTAAAACATGGAGTGCTTTCCAATTTGGAGACAATCTCTGGTCTTTATTGCTCCTTTTTCTATTTTCACTGTCATTGTTCTCATCCTGTTATACCTGGACAAGTCCCTGGGTGATCCTCTAGCTTTTACCCTTCCCACATACCACTATCAGACCAATTTCCTTGACTATCACCTTGACTGGCTAATCCATAAGCCTCAAATCCTTAATACTCTCCGCTGATTATAAAGCAAATCCAAATCACTCACACTGACATTCAAATATTACCATAATCTGACTCTAATCTGTATTTCCACTCTTATTTCCTACTATTTCCTTCAGGAATATCGGGCTCCTCACAGACTGGTCTATTTTCTGTTCACTAATATTCCCATCTATGTCCTTTAATCCCATGCTCCAACATAGAAATACGATAGTCCAGAGGCTTTCAACAACTTCAGCAACAGTAACCCAACTTCTCAGTTTCCTAATAAAGAAGCTGATACCCACAAAGACAGCCAGGGAGTTACCAATATACCCATATCTTTAATATGCCTGTTTATTTCGTGCCTTCCATTTTTTTTCTCTTTTTAAAATTACACATTATACAGCAACACATTTTCCTTGAAAAAACTTAAAATAGAAAAAAATAGATTAAAATTATTGAAATCATGGACGAAAGAAGAAATATTACTACCAGTCTTACAGAAATAAGGATTAAAAGGGAATATGATCAACAATTGTATGCCAATAAATTACATAACCTGATGAAATGGACAAAGTCCTAGAAAGACACAAGCTATAGAAACTGACTGAAGAAGAAATAGAAAATCTGAGAAGACCTATAACAATAAAAAGATTTAATGAATAACTTCATTCAATCTTGAAAACTTCCCACATTGGGGGGAAAAAACCCAAAACTCAGGACTAGATGGCTTCACTAGTGAATTCTACCAAATATTTAAAAAATAACTAATACCAATCTTTCACAAACCCCTCCAAATAACAGAAATATAGAAATCCTCAATAAAATATTAGCAAACCAAATCCAGCAACATATTAAAAACAAATTTTCTACCTTACCAGATGCAATTTATCCCAGGAATGCAAGGTTGCTTCACATATGAAAACCAGTCCATGTAAATTATACCATATTAGTGAAATAAGGTTATAAAATCCCACATGATCATCTCAACAGGCACCAAAAAAGCATTTGCAAAATCCAACACCCTTTCATGGTGAAAAAAAAAGAAAAAAAAATACTCAACAAACCAGAAATAGAAGGGAACTTTCCTCCAAATAATAATGAACATTTATGAAAAATCCATAGTTAACATCATATTTAATAGTGAAAGACTGAAGGCTTTCATCCTACAATCAAGAATAAGACAAGGATACTCACTTTCATCACTTCTATTCAACCTTATACTGAAGGTTCTAGCCAGCGCAATTGGACACGAAAAAGAAACAAAAGGCATTACATCAGAAAGAGGTAAAACTATCTCTAGTCACAGATCATACACTGTGATATGCAGGAAATCATACAGAATCCACCACAGAACCTGTTATAACTAATAAATAAGATGGGCCTTGTTGCAGGATATAAGATCAATATAAAAAATCAATTATGTTTCCATATACTAGCAGTGAACAATCTGAGAGTTAAATTAAGAAAATAATCACATTTAAATAGCAACAGAAATAATACATAGGAATAAAGTTAACAAAAGAAGTACAATCTTATACACTGAAAACTGCAAAGCATTATTGAAACAAAGTAAAGAAGAACTAAATAGAAAAACCTCTCCTTTTCATGGATTGGAAGATTTAATGGTGCTAATATGGCAATATTCCTCAGATTGATTCAGATTCAACACGATACCTATCAGATTCTCACCTGGTGTCTTTGCAGAAAATTGAAAAACTGATATTAAAACTCACATGGAATCTTTAGGGACCCAGAATAACCAAAACAATTTTGAAAAAGGAAAATAAATTTGGAGGACTCATACTTTCTGATTTCAAAACTTATTACAAACCTACACTAATCAAGAGAATGGGGCACTGGCATAAGAATAGATATAAAGATCAATGAAATAAAACC